ATGGTCTGGCTGCGAGCTTCCCTGAAGCCCCATGCTTCCCTGAAGCCCCGTGCTTCCCTGAAGCCCCGTGCTGACCGAACCTGACAGCTATGTCATCAGGCCTAGGGTTCCCAGGGGGCCGGTGATATTCTAAGATGGCTCCTTCATTGTGATTAATTTATTCTCTCTTGTGCCTGGTAGTTTGTAGGTTTTAATATGTCTGTTTTATATTTTTAATAATGATTGTTTTATACATATTTATTGTTTTATTTAATTGTTGTATACCACCCAGAGTCACTTCCTGTGAAATGGGTGGCCATATAAATTTGATAAATAAACAAATAAATAAATGTCTTACAAAGGAAATGTTGACCACACAGCCATGATGCCTATGCAGGAGAAGGACTTCCTCAGCTTCTTCCCTGAATGTTTCCCAGAATTTGTTGAGAAAGCAAATAGGACAACTCATGATGTAATGTTCTGTCATGCACTGAGAAGAGAATACGGATGGTGCCATATTGGTAGGATCCTTGCCCCTGATTGAGGAAATAACTACTGTACTACCATTGGTGGGAACATGGAGTTGTGTTATATGTATAAGTAACATTAGAGCTAGAGAGCTGAATTTAATTCTACAGCCATGAGAAAGGAACTCTAAGATTTCTTTTACTTTTTACTGTAAGATGCCTCCAATTAAAACTATCACAACAAAGTGTGAAAATGCAACCATTATCTCCAGGATCTGGGGTATTGAAATGCATGAGGGATAGTATCCCAGGTGCGATGAAATGACATTTAAGATCTCTGCCCCTATTCACAAGTTTTGTAAAAGCAAAGAAGCCACTGACTCGACTCCAGGTATGTTTGTTAATTCAGAAACAGATTTATGCTAGTGTTAAGCTTAGATTTTTCGCCATTACACACTGCATATTTATATTAACAGTAACAATCCACATGGGATCCTGAGAAGTTTCTAAACCATATTAAAATTAGAGGCAAGCTTAATTTTTGAGCTTCAGTGCATTTATGATTGTTCACAATTTCAAGGTTTTAAATCTTCTTAATGCTTAATTCCATTTCTCAGTGTCTAATCTCAGCTTTTCATATCTTTAAGTCTCTATAAGAAGAGCATTTTATTTCCATGTGTGGCAGAATACAGTAAAATTACTTTCAATTAGAGGTAAACAAAAAGTAACCTGAAGCTACTGATAGTGCTCTTCATGATTTGAAATACATCATTAAGAGCATTTAACTCCCAACTGTTAAAGTTACATATCAAAGTCCATAAACTTGTAAGTAAAATTGCAGTGGTCTTGTGCTTGTCATTTAACTTTCTGTTGCTACATTTCTTACCTAGAAAGCACAAGTATATTCATTGGCTCCTTTTGATCAGATACTTACATGGATGGCCAGCTTTGATATAAGGGAAAAAGTTGGACCTATAGCAACAGTTCAGTTTAGGGAAATGGTTTAGCAGGACTCAATTTTAATTCCCATCCTTTTCCATACTGTAAAGTCTGAGGTCCAATCCGCAATGACTAAACATGTGGATTTGTCTTCTCCACACAGTACATGTGCTATTTGAGTGTATACATCATGGCTCTGCCTCCTAAGAATGCAACCTTTTGATTCACTCTATCTTTGAGCTCCTTTGTTACAACGCAGTCTAGGAGAAAGTTGGCAATAAGACATCAACACAACTTTGCCATCAAAACAAACAGCCTCAAAACTCCATTGGTCATTGGAAGTGTGGATTACAGCAGGAATCAGTTGAAGTTACTGTCCCCAAACAAAATAATGTTTAGGGTATTCCTTACAGGACCACCTATTTCTGTGCAGTTCACCTTCCAGTCTTAGGAGATCATCACCGGGGCACCTCCTGTGTGTTCCACCATGGATATTTTTGATGTCATCAATCAACAATCAGCTCTACTTTCTATCATCATTAGTATTGTCCCAATTTTATGTTATAAACTCCAACTGGAGTTGAAGCAAACCCTTGCTTCTTACATTTTAGAACAAAGTTCAAAACAATCTTATTTGCCCAGGATTTTTAATGCTGCTGACTGAATTTGGTTTAATATTTTTCCTGTTCTAATACTATTTTAATAGATATTTGTATTCTATGTTGTGTGCCACAAAAGCATTCAAACTGTTTCAGTTCTTTTAAAAAAGCATTACCTTGATCCTTCCCAACCTGAGATCAGGCCCAGATCTGGCACAAAGAAGCCTTGCTCATTGTGGTGAACAATCATATTAGCAGAGGTGTAGGAAGAATGCAACCCGGTTGATATACTTACATCTTTCGGTGGCTTTTTACATCATTCATCCACTCCTTCTGATTTAGTGCTTCCAGAAATTATATTGACATACTTCTTCATCATTTCAGAATTGTCCTGCAAGGTTTATTTTGGGTCCCATGTTATTAACAAATACTTTCCCCAGGACTTTGAATGCTAATGATTTAATTTTTTATTTATATCGGTTTTAATGCTAATTTAATAGATATTCATCTTCTATCATGTACATCACCTAAAGCTATTAAGAAGCAAACTGCTTATAAATGCTTTTTAAAATTATTTATGAATCCCAAGTTTGTGAAATGTTGAGGGCACCTGAAACAAGGAATCGTACAAGGGCTGGATGAACCTAAAATTTATACCCTAAAGAAACAAAAGTGAAAAATGAATTGGGTGGGAAATTCACCTGCTGTAGCTCCTGCAATTCCCACTCTACTGAAAAGAGAGCTGAGATAAACAGGAATCCAACATTTTTAAGTCCCCATTTCCTGGATATAATGCAAGATTTCTAAATTGGGGAACAGGGAATAGAGATGCTAGGAGCTAGAAATACATTAAAGTCCAACATATAGTTTACAGCAACAGATATAGCAATACTGCAGTAGATTATTCTGTGTCCTTCACTTACCCGGCAGCATCACGTGTAGTGTGTATATAACATGCTTCATGTTGTATTTTCATAAACTGAATTTTTAAAAATGTATTTTTGTGTATAATAAAAGTTATCTTGCTAGCAAATATATGCTGAGTTAACCTAGTATGTATGGTACCAATCCTCCTGAAAAAAAATCCAGATTGTTCTTTTATGAAGATAGGAACACAGATGAAACTCTAAACAATGTAATTTTCTTTTCCCTAACAAGGGATCAGAAAACAATTTCAGGATCAGCTAATATCCTGAAACCAGCATCCAGTGATAAAGATCATGGACAAACAAAATGAATCTCTCATTACTGAATTCATTCTTCAGGGATTCACAGACAATCCCAAAATGCAGCTTGTTCTTTTTATGGTCTTCCTCTCGGTTTATGCCATCACTGTGTTTGGGAATCTCGGGATGATTCTGCTGATTTGCACTCAACCCCAACTCCACAGACCCATGTATTACTTCCTGGGCAACCTCTCCTTCGTGGATCTCTGCTGTTCCTCAACCATTGCTCCTAAAATGCTGTCTGACTTACTAAGTGCAACTGAAAGGATTTCTTATAGTGCCTGTGCTACCCAACTCTTTCTATTTGGTATGCTTGGGGATGTAGCGTGCCTTTTATTGGCTCTGATGGCCTATGACAGATATGTGGCCATCTGCAATCCACTTCTCTATTCAGCTATAATGTCCAAAAAGGTCTGCCAACAAATGATTGCTGTTGCATACGGTATAGGCCTAATGGATACAATAGCATACACTTCCTCTATATTCCGATTATCATTCTGTAGATCAAATCTTATCAAACATTTCTTCTGTGACATACCTCCACTCCTAATACTCTCCTGCTCTGATACATACATCAGTGAAATAGTGATATTTGCCTTTGCTAGCTTCATTGAAGCAAGCAGCATTGGTATGATTCTTGTATCCTATGTTTATATTTTGGCTACAATCCTGGGAATGTGCTCCACTGAGGGCAGGCACAAGGCATTTTCCACCTGCTCTTCTCACCTGTCAGCTGTTGGGATATTCCACGGAACAATAGTCTTCATGTACTTTCGTCCCACCTCCAGCTATTCCATGGACCAAGACAAGTGGGCCTCATTGTTCTACACAGTTGTGATTCCCATGCTCAACCCTCTCATCTACAGTCTGAGAAATAAGGAGGTGAAAGATGCTGCAACAAAATCAGTGGGCAACATATGGGTTTTTAAAGGGAATAATCCCAGACAAATTTAATGGAAAATTTCATTATAAGCTCTGCCATTTCTAAGGAGGAAGAACATCAATGGAAAAAAGAATATAGTTGGTAGCAGTCAACAAGAAGAGGGTTCTTGGTAATCTTAAATCAAAATTATGTTCCATAGACATCACCTTATAACTATTGACTGTAGAAATCACAAGTCTGTAAGTATATACAATAGTTCACAGTTCAACAAAAATAAATTAAAGATTGTTGTTGGTTCTGAATTTGTCCAGGTATAAGCAGTTTAACATGTAATAAGTCAAATATGTCAGTGAATTTTATATGTAGCTTTAGTTATCATCTTTACAAGGTAAAACAATTTGAATTTGTTTTTGTGGAAAAGGAGACCACCTGTTCAATTAGCCTTGTCAAACTAGGGCATTGGTTCTCAACGGGGGCGGTACCACCCCCCAGGGGGCGGTGGGAGGATGCTAAGGGGCAGTGAACTTGTTTGGGGCAGTAGGGGGGCGGTGGGCATGTTTTGGCATTTGAACTTAATTTTAAAACTCCCAAAAAAATTTATTAAATCGATTACCCGGTTTACACCATTTGTACCAGCAATAAAACGAACTTACGCGACGGCTGCCCTCACGCACTTCTAAGAATTTGAAGTGAGACGAATTTGTATTCTAGGTAGGCTGACCTTGAAGAACTCGACACTACGATTCTTCTCCGATCCCAACCAGCACAGCGCATGCGTCAGCTGTCTTCCCGCGCGATTAATCGCAGCGCGTGCGTCAGCTGTCTTCCCGCGCGATTAATCGCAGCGCGT